GAAATTCAATAACACCCTCCTGAACAACCAATGGGTCACAGAGAAAATTAAAGAAGAAATTAGACAGTTCCTAAAATTAAACAAAAATGTGAATATAACATACCTGAATTTATGGAACACAAAGCAGTCTTACAAGGAAAATTCATAGGAGTGAATACCCATACTAGGAAAACAGAGCAAGCTCAAATAAACAAAATAATGTTGAATCTCAAGCTTCTAGAAAAAGAAGAACAAGACAAACCCAAAGCTCATACCGGGAGGAAATTATAAAGATCAGACCAGAAATCGATGCAATGGAGACTTAAGAGAATGATACAAAAAAATCAGCGAAGCAAAGAGTTGGTTCTTCAAAAGAATAAACAAAATTGACAAACCCTTAGCCAACCTTACCAAAAAAAGGAAAGGCTCAAATCCATGCAATTAGGAATGAAAAAGGTGAAATTACAATGGGCCCAGCAGAAATCCACAGGATCATCAATACCTACTTTGAGAACCTGTACTCCAATAAGATGGAAAACACAGAAGAAATAGATTTCTAGATACATATGAATTAACAAAGTTGAACAAAGAAGATCTAAAAATTCTAAAAAACTCAATATCAATCAATGAAATTAAAAATGTAATTAAAAACTTACCAACAAAGAAAAGCCCAGGTCCTGATGGCTTCACTGCTGAATACTACAAGACATTTAGGGAAGAGCTATTGCCACTAAATGCTTCAATGAAATTAAAAGGGAACTCATACTCCCAAATTCATTCCTGGAAGCAAGCATCACCTTGATCCCCAAAGCAGAGAAAGACTCAACCGAAAAAGAGAACTATAGGCCAATCTCACTAATGAACATAGACATAAATATCCTCAGTAAGATACTTGAAAACAGAATGCAGAAGATTTTCAAGAAGATTATCAAGAAGATCATACACCATGACCAAGTAGGATTCATTCCAGGGATGTAGGGATGGTTCAACACACACAAATCAATAAATGTAATACACCATATTAACAGAGCCAAGGAGAAAAACCACATGATTATCTCAACAGATGCAGAAAAAGCGTTTGACAAAATCCAACACCCATTCATGATAAAAAAAAAAAAACCCCTACAGAAAATTGGAGTAGATGGTCTTATCTCAACCTGATAAAAGCCATCTATGAAAAACCAACAGCCAACATCATACTAAATGGTCAAAAACTGAAATCCTTCATGCTAAAATCAGGAACAAGACAAGGATGTCCACTTATCACCACTCCTGTTCAATATAGTTCTGGAAACATTGGCCACAGCAATTAGACAAGAGAAAGAATTAAAAGCAATAAAGATAGGAAATGAAAGAGTTAAATTATCATTTGCAGATGACATGATACTCTATAAAAGACCCCAAGAATGCCATCAAAAGTGTTCTAGACTTAATAACTCAGTAGAGCAGCTGGATACAAGGTCAACACACAAAAATCAATAACCTTCCTCTACTCGAACAACAGACTCATTAAGAGAGGAGCTGGAGAAACAACTCCTTTCACAACAGCATCCAAAAAAAAAGAAATACCTAGAAATCAACCTAACAAGGGTAGTAAAAGACCTTTACTCTGAAAAACTACAGCACTCTGAAAAAACACATCTCTTGTTCTTGGGTAGGAAGAATCAGTATAGTGAAAATGGTCATACTCCCAAACTGCTATATAGATTCAATGCAATCCCAAGGGAATTCCAACAGAATATTTCACAGAACTAGAGAAAACAATCCAAAAACTCATTTGGCACAAGAAGAGACCTAGAATAGCAAAAGCAATTCTAGACAACAAAGACAAGGCAGGGGGTATCACAATCCTCAACTTGAAACTATACCACAAAGGTACTATGATAAAAACAGCATGGCACTGGCAAAGAAACAGACCCAAGAACCAATGGAGCAGATTAGAAGATGCAGAAACAACTCCAGACATACTCAGACAACTCATCTTCGACAAAGGAGCCAAACACCCTCACTGGAGCAAAGACAGACTCTTTAATAAATGGTGCCCCAAAAACTGGATTTCAACATGATAAAGATTAAAACTAGACCCATATCTCTCACCATGCACTAAATTAAAATCAAAATGGATCAAAGATCTAAACATTAAAACAGAAATAGTAAACCTGCTAGAAGATAGGCTAGTTGGAACTCTTGAAGACACTGGTATAGACACTGACTTTATGAACACAACCTCAGTTGCACGTAAACTAGCACAAAGAATCAACAACTGGGATCTCATCTTATTAAAACACTTCTAGCTCAGCAGTTTTGCCGCCTGCTGCACAAGCGCAGGGACCCGAGTTCGATTCCTAATACCAAAAAATAAAAAAATAAATAAAAAATAAAACACTTCTGGATAGCAAGAGAAAACACCAACTGAGTGAAGAAACAACCCACGATGTGGGGAAAAAATTTTACCAACTGTCCCTCAGACAAAGGTCTGCTATCTAGAATATATGAAGAACTTAAAAGATCAGACCCCCGAAATTTAAAGACCCAATCCAAAATGGGCTTCTGAAATTATCAGACATTTCTCAGATGAAGAAGTAGAAACAGCAAATAAACATGAAAAAATGTTCAACATCACTGGTCACTTCAGAGATGCAAATGAAAACAATGCTGAGATTCCACTGCACTCCAGAAATTATGGCTGATATCAACAAATCAGCCAATAAAAAGTGCTGGAGGGGTTGTGAGGAGAAAGGAATGCTTTCCCACTACTGGTAGAAGTGTAGACTGGTGCAACTACTGTGTATATCAGTGTGGAGATTGCTCAGAGAATTAAGATTAGAGGTCCCATTTGACCCAGCTATTCCTCTGCTGGGTATCTTCCCAAAAGAATTACTAGCATCACACCGCAGTGATATATGCACACCCATGTTTACAGAAGCACAATTTCTAATAGCTAAATCTTGGAAATAGCCCAAATGCCCATTGACTGGTGACTGCTTAAAGTAGATGTGGTTTTTCTATAAAATGGAGTACTCCTTCGCCATAAAGAAGGATAAACTAGACACATTTATAGTTCACTGGATGGATCTTGAGGCCATACTTTTTTTTCTTCCATTAAGTTTATTGGTACATTTTAGGTATACAATAGTTATATTCATCATTGGGAACTTGTACCTTTACATGACGTATCTTGGTTCTTATATTTTCCCCAATCCCCTGCCCTCCCTTCACCCCCTCCACCCTTCCCTATTTACAAAGACTTTGTTTACATTTTTTCATTTTTTCATATTAATTACATGCCCTTCTTTCCTTTCTCCTACCCCTCCCATTTCCCCTTTCCACCTTTTCTTCCTATTTCACATTATCTATTATATATTTCGATCCTCATTCACCCTTTCAGCTTCTCACACCAGAGAAACTATTCAGCATTTACATGTGTGTCCTATTTCACTTAAGTGAAAATACTGAATAGTTTCTCTGGTGTGAGAAACTGAAAGGATAAATGAGGACCAAAATGTATAATAGATAATGTAAAATAGGAAAAACAGGACCAAGGGGGAAGGGAAAGTGGGGAGTGAAGGGGAAGAAAGAAGGGCAGGAAAAATCATGAGAAAAGAAGGAAAAAATGGAAACAAAATTTTTGTAAATAGGGAGGGGCAGAGGTGTGGAAGGGAGGGAAAGGGAATGAGTAAAAAACAAGAACCAAGACATATCGTGTACAGGTACAAATTCCAAATGTTGAATGTGATCATAATGTATACCTAAAATGTACCAATAAACTTAACGGGGAAAAAAAGATAGTAATATCCTTGGAAGGTGCTTTATGTGCATTGAATCTTTTCCTTCTGTCAAGAACTGTTTATATTTCAGTCCTACATTAACAGATGAGGCACAGAAGGGTCATAAAACTTGGATCCAATAGATCTTTCTGGATCCAAAGATCATACTCTTAGCCATTACACTGCATTCTGAACTCTGAACTTAAACTGAGTGCAAAAGTTTAGTGATTATGGATTGTGCTAGAATGTAGTGTAGCCCATATGGAGTACCCACATCACCTACAGGTATGAGAAACTGGGCACCCAAAGAAGTATTATTACAGAAAATCCTGCTCCCTAGAGTGATGAAAAAAACTAATGGCACCAGAAACTGGGCTAAGAAGGATTGGCTCGCCTCACATGACACCTGACCCCCTGGTCACACTTTGCTTTTGTTGAGAGAGAGCTCCAGTGTAGTCTTTCACTTCAGTTATTCTGGATCATTCCAGGGAAGTGCATACCCTATAGGGTTACCTGTTTTGATATGAAGATTGTGGGTGGTGGGAGTCTGATTCAGAGGACAGCAGATAATTTCTGCTAAAACAATCCCTTCCAAGATCTGATTACTCAAAATACACAATCCAGTTTTGGATTTTTGGATTTTGCTTTGTTCTGTGGTGCTAGAAATTGAACTCAAGTGCATGCTACACAGGTGCTTTACCACTGAGCTATACCTCGACAAGCCCAGTCTGGCAGATCAACTTTTAAAATAATACAATAATTGTTTAAAAGTCTAGGCAGAAATTTCAGCCGATTCCTACTCAAGTATCTGAATCTCCAGCATTACTACTTCCCTTCAGCAATACTACACACATCTAACTCTAAAACGAGGAAGCCTCTGCTGAGGTTGCCCAAAGCGGGGAGCTGCTGGCGTATGCAAGTTAATTCTCGGTCATCTGAGAGCGGACCTGGAGCAAGTGCGTGGGGGCCCGCGACGGGGAGCCGCGCGCTCCTCTCTGGAGTAAGGTAAGCCACCTCCCACGGCCCTGGGAAGCCCTGACGCCGCAGGCTTCCTCACCCTGGAAGAGCCACCCGGGCGTAGTTCCTCCACCGCTTCCTCCAGCCGGGGTATCCGACCGTCCCTTCCTGCAACGCAGCTCTCCAGCCACGCGCCCTGCCCGGACGGAGGCGGCGGGGGCGGTGCGGCCTCACGCACGCGCGCGCGCGCGCGCGCAGCAGAGGCCCCGCCCCCGAGACCCCGCCCCTCGCCGCGGCCCTCTGTTCCCGGGGCAAACCTGTCTCGTGGGGCGGCTGCGGAGCTTCCTCCCTTGCGGGACGCTCAGTGCCGCCCGAGTTCTCCTTCCGCCCTGCCTCGGCATCTCCGAGGCGGACTAGGGACTAGCGGAAGGTTCGCGGAGCCGAGCCAAGACGCAGCCAGCGGGAGCCGCGGTGGGGTCGCCGGCGTGTGCCATGTCGCTGTGGGGGGAGCCGCTGCAGGCCCCGCTGCCCCCGGCCGCGCCCTCGGGGCCGCCACTCGCCGCTCAGGCCTGGACGACCGTCAGCAACCTGCGAGAGCCGCTGCTGCGGAGGCTCAGCGAGTGCTTGGACCGCGCGCCCGAGGGCCGGGGCTGGAGGCGGCTGGCCGAGCTGGCGGGCAGTCGGGGGCGCCTCCGGCTCAGGTGAGCCCCTGGGCGAGCGCACGGCGGAGGGTGGGACGCGGCGGGACGGGGCCCTGCAAGACGGGGACCGAGACAGGGAAAGCTTTGGTCTCCTTTGGAGAGCTCGAACCCTGCAAAGTACCAGGAACGCAAGGGGTGCGAGGCAGGACCCCGGCTTTGGGAAGGAAGAGGCGAACACACCTTTTTTTCTACCTTCCTGTCCCCGGTACTGAATGAGAAGTATGAGAGAAAGAAAGCTGTCTGTAGGGAAGTAGTTCCAAAGTGCTTTAAGACGTGAAAGAAAAAGACAGGGACCCAAACCTCGGGGACCTGAGGAAGGTCCGGTGGGAGCTGTGCAGGTAAAGAGAGAGGGAAAATGCAGGACTGGGTGGAGGGATTCATGAAGCTTTTCATGTAGAGAAAAGAGAGAGACTGGATCGAAACATCTTTCTCATCAGACCACGTTACCACGTTCTTTTCTTGACTTCACCACGAACGTTAAACTCTGAAGTAAAACTACTTTCGTGATGAGGAAAGGAACCAGTGACAGGGGAAGGCATGGAACCACCCTGTTAGCAATTCTTGATGTTTTTTGGTCTCGGGACTCTCTTACACTCTTTAAGAGTTATTGAGGACCACAGAGAGCTTTTGGCGAGCTTATCAATATTATATACTAATATTTACCACATTTGAAATTAAAACCAAAAAGCTTCTAAAATATTAACTTATTTTAAAATAATAACTCTTTACATGGTAACTGAAATAACATTTTTGCAGAAAAAACTTGTCCAAAACAAATAAAAAAACTAAGGGAGAGTAAGTATTGGTTTACAATTTAAAAATCTCTAATGTCTTAAACGGAGAGCTGGATTGTTTTATGTGTTTCGCTGCGTGTAATCTATTGCAGTATCACAGATGATGGAGTTCTGGAAACTCCAATATCCACTCTTGAGGGAATGAAAGATAGATAAGGTCTTGTATTATTATGAAAAACTGTTTAACTATTGTGGACAACCCCCCCCCCCGCCCCCGCAAGGGATCTCAGGAACTGCACCAAGTTTTCCAAGACCAGAATTAAAAACCACCACTCTGTACCATTGCCATGATTTTGACCTATATTTGAACGTTTTATCATTTGAACTTCTCAAATGACTAAACGTTATCTTATACTGTAATTATTTGTACAAATGTTCGTAAACTCCCTAAGAACAAAACATCTCTTAATTGTCTTTTATGCCTAGAATTTGTCTTAAACGGTAAGTACTTGTTGAATTGAGTCATTCAAACTTGTATTTATTGACTAGTTATTATTAGCTAGAAGTTACAAAAGATAAATGTTTCACTCCTATTATTAGGGATTTTCTGATAATAGACTGGTATTTTGGAACATTCACAGTAATAGAGTGCTATTTTGGGTGTGAATAATAATGGTTTTTTATCATTTATTAAGTATATTGTATATGCCAGATGATGTACTGTTTATTATTACTTATTATTATTTATTACTTTCACCCTCCAGCAGCCCTGAGTTTTAGGGTTTGAGGTTGAAGCAAAGATGAGGGTTTGGGATTATTGTCCAAGCATAATGAGGTGAGGACGATAAACTAACAAACTCAAAGGCGGGTATGTAGCTCAGCGGCACAACACCTTCCTGGCAAGCGAAAGGTCCAGAGTTTGATCTCTGGTACAAAAAAAGAGCAAAACCTCAAGCAGAGGGCATAATTTTTTTTTCTGTTCTAGGAGAAACACATTTGACTTTTGACTGTACACAGAAAATCCAAGGTATTATTCTAGGTCCATAAATTCCTGAGTTTCTAAAATTATTGTAATGTAAAATATTGTCTTTGGGGGCAAATCTCCAGAGTAATGTGTTTGGCAGTAATGTAGTTAGAAAAAAACTCTGGGCTTTCTGGAGAGGCCTTCATAGAGGGGACTCCTACTTGGTGATGAAAGAAAAGAAGTAAGTCTGAAAGGCTCTGCCAAAAAGAAGCTTGGTTCTTGGGATCTAAAAGAAATGGTTACCTGAGGTTGGCTGTTAAGCTTTCCTCCCCAAGTCTTCAGTCAGGTTTTGCTAAAAGCTGTAGAATGGTGATAGCTTTGTTTGGGGGAACTTAGGAAATGGTTTGAGGCCACTTTTCTGTGGAGTAGTATAGAGAAGATGGTAGGTACCTAGCTAGAAATGACAAGCATGAAAGGGCGTGCACTTTTGGAATCTTGAGAATTAAGGGTGGTTAGTCTAACTAGCAATGTGTGAGTTGCACCAGTCTTCCAGGATGATGAAAGTTAGTTCTGAATAGGTTAATTAGGGTTGGAATGGTTAGAGAATTGAGAAATGTTACACTCATACCTAACCTATTAAAAGCAGAAGAATTAAGCTCCTTAAAAAGGATTAACATTGGAAACTTGGGGGCTGGAGAATTAACAACCAAGGAGCAGGGTCACTAGGTAATTCTTACTCTATTTTAAAGACAAAAAAGTTACTTTAAATGACTTCTAACTGATTGGATAAGAGCATCTGATGGTAGAACATAATAAAGATGTTTGTCTTTAGTGTCTGATGTAGGAATGGTAGAGCAAGTGTCTGGTCCAAGTGGATCTTGAGTCTGGGCAGGATGTGAAGTGCTTTCTTGAGAGTCACTGGATTCACAGCCCTAACAGCTCAAAACATTGCTGCCTCTGGTTTCTTTCCTCCTTTTTTTCAGTTTTTTCTTTGAAATTTTTACATTTTTCCTCAAACTACATGAGAATTTATTTAAGAATATAATAAGTAAACCACAGAAGAGTCCATTCAAAACTATCTACCACGGATTAGGAATAATTATGTTTTCATATAGTTGTCATTGATTCAGAATGAATGCTTGTAGATAGTGTCTTACAGCCATGTACAAATGGGAATGCCTTGCATACAAACCCAGTTTGATTCCGTTCCATTCTGATATAACATCAGTCATCTTTTGCCATCATTGGAGATAGGCACATATTCTGAATGTGTTGCCCAAGGTACGTAAAATCTGTTGTGGCTGGGACATCTGAACTCCAAGGAGGGCAGAGCCTTCAGGGGACTCCAAAATGCCTAAATTCTGCTGAGAAGGAAGCTAAGAAATTGATCTGTGGGGCCAGGGATTTAGCTCAGTGGTTCTGCCGCCTGCCTCAAAAGCTCAAGGTCCCAAGTTCGATCCCCAGTACCAAAAAAAAAAAAAGAAAGAAATTGATCTGTGGAATATGGGCCCAGAAAAAATAATTAGTCATTGTAAGCCTGCTGTGTAAAAGGGGCTCTTTTAGCTGTAGAAATTATTCTCAAACAGCTTACGAAAACATATGCAAAAATTCTCTCAGAAGTTTACCTTCTCTCCTTGTTCTCAGTCTCTAATTTTGGAGTGCTCTAGAGCACAATCTTTATATCTCTTTATTTATGCTTTTTTACCTAGTCACTTCCCAGTGTTATCCTTCAGTCTCATAGCTTTACATATTTAGGTTGATGTTATGGTTTTTATCTAGATGTCTCCCCAAAGCCTCATGTGCTCATAGGGACTTTGGGAAGGTGAATGGATCACAGCTGTGTGATACCGGATTAATTCACTGAGGTTTATAGCTGGGCGTGATGTTGGGAAGTGAAGCCTGGTGGGAAGAGGTAGGTGACTGGGTGTGGCCTGGAAGGATGGAGATACAAAAAATAGATAAATACATAATTCCTCCTCCCTTGATGGCTTGCTGCTTCCTGCCTGCCATGCCATGAGCAGTCCTCCTCTGCCATGCCCCTCCACCGTGCTGCCCTGCCTTGGAGCCAGTCGACTATGGACTGAAACCTGTACAAACTAAAACAAGCTGAAATACATTAAACCTTTCCTCCTTTTCCCACCAGCTTGAACCACTGGTGGTACTTGTATTACTGTCCCTTTGGGCAGCTTATACCACTGGTGGTACAAACAGATCTAATCACCTTTATCCATCTTTTTACTAATAAAAGTAATAAAAAGTTGCCCAGTGGGACAGTCATTCATGTACCACTGGTGGTTCAAGCCACTTGGTAGTAAGACATATAAATTACCACCTTGGTCATGATCCTGTTAACTTGTGGGTGTCAGGTAAGTAACTAAGACAGTTGACTGCTCCCATACATAGATGTCTATTGCCATCTCCTCAGTGCTTAATAAACATTCTACACATAAAATCCCCAAACTCAATCTGTTTCCTCACACAAGCCTCTTTCTTTTGCAGTTTTCTGCATCTTGGTAAATGGTAACTACATTCTGCTAGTTGCTTAGGCCAGAATCTTCAGTCATTTCTGATACTACTTTTACATATGTAATTTTTTGTCATCAAATCTTCATTGCTGTACTTGCACTATATATCTAGGGTTAGGGTTAAGGTTGTGCCAAATTGGGCCAAGCCACCATTGTCTCTTACCTGTATTATTCCAATAGCTACTTCTTCCTCCTACTGCCTTGCCTCTACCCCCAGTCTGTTCACACCATAGCAGTAAGAATGACTTTTTGAAAACATTAAATCAGCTCTTGTCCCTTTTATGTTCAAAACCCTCTCATTGCTTTTCCATTTCAGCAAAAACACCATTAGCTACCAGTTAATTCTTGGATTTGATATCCTGCTGTTACCTCCTTCCCTCTCTCTAGCCATACGTACTTTCTTGCTCTCCCCTAAACACCATAGGGTCTCTGTACTTTCTGCTTACTGAGGCTAAGATGGTCTCCCCAGATAGGTACATGATTTACTCTTCCTTTTCAAGTGTTTCCTTAAAAGACATCTTGTCAATGAGGATTTCACTGATTCTCATCATTGAAATTACCTCCTACATCTGCTCAAGCATTCCCTATCTGCCTGCTTTGCTTTAGTTTTCTCCAAAGAGAGAGTTTTATCTATCCCTCTGCTCTCAAATGAAAAATTCAGGAAGATAGGCAATTTTGGTGCTGCTCTCTCCTTAATATCTGGAAAAAAATGGCTTATTTTATGTGATTAATGTATAAATTGAATTAGTGAAAATTCCAGAGAGTGTATGTACCAAGAGCAAAAGCAGAAGAACCTGAAAGCATTTCTATGGTTTGTACCCAAGAGGCTGTATAATATGTTCCCTTTGATTTTATATTTCTAAAAGTAAAAATAAAAATATAGTTTTGAAAACAAAGACCATTTGTCTCAGTAATAAGACAGTTTTTAAAAATAAATCAAAAGTTCCAAATTAAGACTTGTAGAAACCACTTCAAAGCATGCTCTTACAGGAATATAACTAAGAAAGGAAAGATAAAAGTTGGGTATGTGTATGTATCACTGTACCTGAAAGCCAGTGCCGATGCGGAAAATCAGTAAAATGAAAGAACGTATGCAGTCTTGTTTTTCTCTATGCCTCTTGTATTGGAAAAAATAGTGCACTTCAATTTGATCTTTGTTCTTTGGGGGAAAGAAAAGTCAAATTGTTTTTAATGTTCTCTGTATCAACTAAAGCATCACTTGGTTGCATCTGATGAGATGGCTTCTTAATTTCACATATCAGACATTGACAAACTTCTAAATCATGAAAGGTATATTTAGCATATAGCATCCTTATTTTTATAAATTGAATATTCTAATTGAAAACAGTAATTCTTGTATTATTTCTAATATATGTTCTTTGACTTGGACATTTTAAATCTTTTTCAGTTGCTAACTTTGTAACATTGATTGTTCTATCCAGTGTAATTTTTGAGTTATAGGCTTCTCTTTCTCTCCATTCATAGTACTAATAGCTCTGTTTATGTATGTGCATATGCCACATAATTTGGGCACTAATGAGTAAGGGCATGTTCCTTTCAGATAGCAGCAGAATCTAGCCCCCTCGTGCCTGCATTTTGATTCATCTTGTACTTTATCATCTTCAAAGAAGGAGGAAAGAAAACACTCTCTTCTTATTTACGTTTTCAAATTAAAGGCAAAAATTTTGATGATTATTAAGGCTAAGTTTCTCTCATACCCTGCTTCAAATATCCTCTTACAGTCTTCTGATTTAATAATGAGAACTGAGTGAGAGAAGGGAATAAAGAGAGGGAAGAGGAAACAATGAAGAAGGAGGGAAAGGCATTAACATTCATAATGTAAATAGTTTCTCACCACTCGCAAACTTGTGCTCCATTCCTTATGGCACCTCCAGTGATCCAGATATATAATGGGCATGTCATTCTGAAGAATACTGTTGACTTTAAGCTAGACATGATGGCATATGCCTGAAATCTCAGCTATCCAGGAAACTGAGGCAGGAGAATCACAAGTTTGAACCCGATGGCCAACTTAATGACAGCCTGTCTGTTATATGACATACAGATGTGTCAAGATGAAACCCATTATTCTATTAACCAATATGAACTAATTTTAAAAAAAAGGAAAAATGGCTGGGGATAAAGCTCAGTGGTAGAGAACCCCTGGGTTTGATCCCCAAACACACATACACACACACATTATTGACCTGAATTAAATCTGTTATTTTCAGTTGTCTGGACCTGGAGCAGTGTTCTCTTAAGGTATTGGAGCCTGAAGGAAGCCCAAGCCTGTGTTTACTGAAACTAATGGGTGAAAAAGGTTGTACAGTCACGGAATTGAGCGACTTCTTGCAGGCTATGGAACATACTGAGCTTCTTCAGCTTCTCAGCCCCCCAGGTAGGTTTTTCCCTTAGAAATATTATCTTGAAATTCATGGAGTAAATCTTAGAGAAAAATATCTCATTTGTCCAGGTAAATTGGGTTAAATATTTTTGAAAAATATAAATGTATAGAACCTCATTTTTTCCCATCTTGAGACCAAAGACATAAAAAGCAAATAAAAATGCATAAATGTTGATTGGATTAATTCAAAGCCAGCTATATACTCCTGAAGTACTTAGAGGTAAGATTAGTACAACATATATTGAAGTAGTACTGCCAATAAAATGAACACATACTTATTTTTATGTACATATATATATATGGATGAGATGACATAGAACAGAAATTGATGAAGTTTTTGCCAACATGATGCTGTTGAAGTGTTAATTAACTCAACCATATGAATTTTTCCTCATACAACAATATTGGCAAAGGAATTGAAATTATCCCATGCATATTATCAATTCACAGTGCAATGAAACTGGAAATCAATGCAGAGAAACTGTGCAAACACAAGGAAATTAAATAATATACCCTCTTGAATAATCAGTGAGTCACAAAGGAAATTAAAGAAGAAATTAAGACAGTTCCTACAATCAAATGATAATGACAGTGTGACATACTGAAACCTATGGGACTCACAAATGAAAGCAGTCCTAAGAGGGGAGTTTATAGCAATGAATTCCCACATCAGAAAAACAGAACATGCACAAATAACCTAATGACGCACCTCAGGGTTCTAGAAAAACAAAAATCCAAGCCCAAAGCTAGTATGAGGAAGAAAATTATAAAGATCAGGGGCTGCGAATTTAGCTCAGTGGTGCCGCCACCACCTGCTTCATAAGCACAAGGTCCTGAGTTTGATCCCCGGTACCAAAAAAAAAATTATAAAGATCAGAGGAGAAATTAATGTAACAAAAACAACAACAACAACAAAAAATATATATATACCTATAAAGAATCAATGAATAGAAGATTTAGTTCTTTGAAAGCTTAAACAAAATAGATAAACCCTTAACTAACCTTATCAAAACAAAGAAAAGACCCAAATTCATGTAATTAGAAATGAAAAAGCCAGAATCACAATGGATTCTGCCAAAATCCAGAAGATCGTCAGTAAAAACTTTGGGAACCTGTACTCTAATAAAATGAAAATTTCAAAAGAAGTAGATAGATTATTAGATACATATGAATTACCAACGCTGAATCAAGAAGATGTAAAAGTCCTGAATAATCCCATGTCAATGAAATTGAAGTAATTAAAGAAAAACTATGAACTTAGAAAAACCCAGGTTCCAACAGATTCACTGCTGAATTCTACAAGAACTTTAGAGAAGATCTAATGCTGGTACTCTTCACTCTTTAAAAATCAAAAGAGAAGCAGTAGTCCCAAAAGTCATTCCTGGAAGGCAGCATTATCTTCATACCAAAACCAAAAAACAACCCAATGAAGAAAGAGAACCAAAGGCTAATCTCTTTAATGAACATAGATGCAAAAGTCCTCAATAAGATATTGGCAAACAATGCAGCAAATCATCAAATAGATCACACATCATAACTAAGTAGGATTCATTCCAGGGATGCAGGAATGGTTCAACATATACAAATCAGTAAATGTAATATACCACATTAACAGAAGCAAGGACATGGGGCTGGGGATTTAGCTCAGTGGCACCTGTGCCTGCCTTATAAGTGCAAGGTCCTGAGTTCGATCCCCAGTACCCCCCCCAAAAAATTGCTCTTCTGAGAAGCAAGGACAGAAATCACATGATCATCTTAATATATGCAGAGAAAGCATTTGACAAAATTTAACACCCATTCATAATAAAAATCCTAAAGAAAATATGTAAAGGAAGGGGCTGGGGATTTAGCTCAGTGGTTCTGGTGCCTGCCTCACAAGCGCAAGGTCCCAAGTTCGATCCCCGGTAGCAAAAAAACCCCCCAAAAACAAAAAAGACCAACTTTAAGGCCGGGGATTTAGCTCAGTGGTTCCAGCGCCTGCCTCGCAAGCACAAGGTCCCGAGTTCGATCCCTGATACCAAAAAAAAAAAGAAAATATGTAAAGGAGGCCTTTATCTCAATCTAATAAAAGCCATTTAAGACAAACCAGCCAACATCATACTAAAAGGTCAAAAACTGAAAGCTTTCCCTCTCAAATCAGGAACAAGACAAGGATGTTTAATATCGCCACTCCTGTTCAGTGCAGTTCTTGAAACAGCCAGAGTAATTAGACAAGAGAAAGAAATAAAAGGAATATGGATAGGAAAAGAAGTTAAATTATTATTTGCTGATGACATGATCCTCTATGTAGAAGACCCAAAAACTCCACTACCACTCCTAGAATTAATAACTGAATTCGTTATCATAGCAGGGTACAAAGTCAGCACTCAAAAATTAATAGTATTCCTGTACACTAATAACATACTCACCAAGAAAGAAATTAGAGAGATAACACCTTTCACAATAACATCAAGAAAAATGAATTATCTAGGAATTAACCTAAGCAAGGAAGTGAAAGACCTCTACAGTGAAAATTATAGGACCCTGAAAAAGGAAATTGAAGGGGATAGCAGAAGATGGAAATATACCCCTGTTCTTGGATAGGCAGAACCAATATAGTAAAAATAACCATATTTCCAAAACTGTTACAGATTTAATTCAATCCCAATCAAAATACCAATAGCATACCTCACAGAACTAGAGAAAACAATCCTAAAATATATGGAACAAGAAGAGACCTAGAATAGCAAAAACAATTCTTAGCAACAGGGGCAAAGCAGTAGACATCACAATACCGGACTTCAAGTTATAACACAAAACTACAGTGATAAAAATAGCATGGTCTTGGCCAAAAAACAGACTTGAGGACTAATGGAACAGAATAGAGGATGCAGCAATAATTCCAGACGCAAAGCTGCCTTACCTTTGACAAAGGGGCTAAACACCTTTACTGGAAGAAAGCCTCTTTAACAAATGGTGCTGGGAAAACTGGCTTAGTACATGCCATATTGCACCTAGACCCATGTCTCTCACCATGCAGTGAACTAAAATCAAAATGGATCAGAGATCTAAATATTAAAACAAACTATCTATTGGAAGATAGAAAAGGTAAAACTCTTGAAAACATAAGTGTAGGCAAAGACTTTATGAATAAAACGCCAGTCACATAGGAAATATTACAAAGAATCAACAACTGGGATCACATCAAATTAAAAAACTTCTGCACAACAAAGGAAACCACCAACAGGGTGAAGAGACAACCTACAGAGTGGGAGAAAAAAATTTTGCCAGCTATTCCTCAGAGGACTGATATCTTTATGAACTCAAAAATAACAGACCCCTCCCCAAATTTAGATACTCAATCCAAAAATGGGCATCTGAAATAAAGATACCTCTCAGATGAAGGACAAATAGCCAATGAAAAACTGCTCAACATCACTGACCATTCAAGAAATGCAAATTAAAGCAATATTGAGATTCTGTGTCCAGAAAGAGTGGCTGTCTTTGAGAGATCAACCAATAACAAATGCTGGCAAGGCTGCAGGGCGGGGCGGGGGGGGGGGTAGGGGGGACAGGACCCATCTCCATTGTTGGTGGGAGTATAAATTGGTACATCCAATATAGAAAACAATATGTAGATTCCTCAAAAAACTAAAAAAAGAGGTTCCATTTGACCAAGCTATTTCCCTCTAAGTGTCTTCCCAAAAGAGTTAAGACATCAATACTATAGTGATACATCCATACCCATTTTTCTAGCAGCACAGTTCATAATAGCTAAATCTTGGAAGCAGCCCATCAACAGATGAATGGATAAAGAAAGTCTAGTATTTATATACAATGGAGTACTACTCTGCCATAAAGAAGGATAAACTTGAGGCATTTTTAGGTAAATGGTTGCACCTCAAGACCATAATCTTAAGTGAAATAAATCAAGCACACAAGTTTAAATATCACATTCTTTCACTTGTGTGAGCGATCCAAAGTATAAATAAGGAGCAGAATGGAGGAGCGATATTAGGAAGTAGAAAGAACTTGTTTAAATGTGAAGGAGAGCAAGAGGTTTGGGGAGGAGGGAAAGAAGGGAAAAGAGGTTTAAAGAAAAAATGGAAACAGAGCTTTTATAAATGTGGGAAGAGGACAAAAAAAAAGAATCAGGTACGCTATTTACACGTACACATTCCCACGGTGAATGTAATGAGGTACTACAAACAGGTACTGATAAAAAGAATAAAATAGGAGCAAAAAACAATATTGAGTGAGGCTTCTCACTTCCAAAATTAGATGAGGGACAGAAAGCAGATTTTCCTTTCTATAGCTGTGGATAGTTACTCAGCTGTAGTGGTGTCGAGTTGGAAGGACATGCCATCAAAATTGCCTGGTGGCAGTAGCACTCCAGGTCCTCTTTCCAGGGGTTCATTTGGACTGAAAGAAAAGAGGCCATTCAAGCATGGAAGGTCCATAGGCTAAGGATTTGATATTCCCTATTTTATGTGATTTTGATGCATGCCATTTCATTTTATAGCCAAGTTGGATATGATATATTTTAAATTAACATGAGAAATTAGGTAGGCACAGAAGGTATAATTGGTGAGCTGTCAATTACATGTACCTGAAATCCCAATTCAAATTGATTTAATAAAGGGAATATATAACTTCTGACTGAAAAGTCTAGAAGCATGGTGGGCTTCATGAGAGGCAGGGAACAATGCTGTTTCTAGGAAGATGGTTGGTTTTTGGTCTTTGGTCTTCCTTTCTTGGCTTTTGGCTTCCTTCCAAGACTGATGCTTCACATAGTCCAAGATACATGCTAACTTTTCCTGAACTCATTCATCTTTGTCCCAGCAATTTTCAGCAAAAATCAGACGATTCACTTAAGTTAACTAGTTTTGTTCAAATGCCTGTCCCTAAACCTGTCACTGGGGCCAAGGACATGGAATGTGCTGATTTGCCTGGCTTATAGCCAGATGTAGAGTTAGATTGAGTCAGCTTTCCAGGAGCCACATGGCTTACCCAAC